ATTATTAGGAAAAGCAAGTCACCTTGGTCATGTCCAGCCTTTTATGTTCAGAAGAACTCTGAATTAGAAAGAGGGGTCCCACAACTAGTTATTAATTACAAACCTCTTAATAAGAAAGACCTCATCAACAGGTTAAGCCAAGCAGTCATCTTCTCTAAGTTCAATATGAAGTCAGGATTCTAGCAGATCCGTCTTAGAAAGAAAGATAGGTATAAAACTGTCTTCACCACTCCATTTGGTCATTATGAGTGGAAAGTCATGCCTTTTGGGTTAAAAAATGCCCCTAGTGAATTCCAAAACATCATGAATGATATTTTCAACCCTTATAATCATTTTTCAATTGTTTACATTGATGATTTTCTTATGTATTCCAAGTCAATCGATGAACACTAGAAACATTTGAAATTGTTTCTAGCTACCATCCAGAAGAATGGTCTTGTGGTTTCTGCGTCAAAAATCAAGTTATTTCAAACTAAAGTTAGATTTCTCGGTTACCACATCCATCAGGGACAGATTCATCCTATTGGTAGGTCACTCCAAATTGCTGATAAATTCCTAGATAAAATTCTAGATAAAAATCAGTTGCAGAGATTCCTTGGATTTCTTAACTACATTGCTGATTTTTACAAAGACCTCAGAAAACAATGTAAACCTCTATTTAATCGTCTTCAGAGTAATCCTTCCCCATGGACTTCTGTTCATACTAACATAGTTAAACCCATAAAACAATATGTCAAGTTTTTGCCATGTCTTGTCATCCCAACTTCCGATTCTTATAAAATTATTGAAACTGATGCCTCAGACATTGGTTATGGTGGCATCCTCAAACAAAGAGTCAGTTCGAATGCTCCTGAACAATTAGTTCATTTCCATTCTAGTGTTTAGTCCAAAGCATAAAGTAACTATAGTACTATTAGAAATTTTATCTATCGTTTTATGTATTAGTAAATTTCAAGATGATATTTTAAATTAAAAGTTTTTAGTCCGAGTTGATTGTCGAAGTGAAAAATATGTTTTAGAAAAAGATGTTGAAAATATTGCTTCCAAATAGATTTTTGCCCAATGGCAAGCTATTTTAAGTATATTTGATTTTGATATAGAATATATCAAAGGGAGTGACAATTTTATTCCAGATTTTCTTACTAGAGAATTCCTGCAAAATGGCAAACAGACAACCTCCCCGACGGCCCCCCCAGGGGAAACAAATAATTGAGCCATTTGATATTTGTCTAGCACCCCCAGTAACTCAAACCCAGTCATCTGCTCTTGCAGTAGTTAACAGGTTTCAACCACTTACACAAATATCCACTTTCAAGTCAGCCCTTGTCAATCCTACTCCAGACCCTTTCCAGGTCCAAGCTAAGACCCCAGTTAACCAAAACCTGAAACCAATTCTAAAAAAGTCATCTAGTGATTATTTTGAGAAACGTTTTATTCCTCTTTTTTATATTGAACCATACCTGAGTCACATAAAGGATCCCATCACCTTAATGCGATCTTATTTCCCTAGTAACCTCCATTTTTGCCCAAATCATCCTCAGAAGACACTTGGATTCTACAGAGACATTCTCTATCATACCGAATCCATAACCAGAAAGTCAATTCCAGATCGTAATGATTCAACCAAAGTCATCCATCACTCCCTATACATCCAGAGAATCATTTCCATGGAAGAGTGGAGTGTTCATCCTTCTTTGCTCCAACCTCTGCCTGGTCATTAAATTCATTTTAGTTATTATGACTACATGGCAGCCTGGTCAACAATATTGTTACACCAAAATGAGTCATTTACTCATTCTTGGTTTATCAATTTTGATAACAAGTTCAAAAGTCAAATCCCAACCTGGTTCCTCGAATGGTGGTCACAACATGGCGTCATTCTAGAAATCCTGCCCCTCACCCTTGCAAACCAAGTAAAGTATTTTCATACCGTTTACAAAGTTAACAAACACAATTCCCAATTTTCAATTCTCCTCCTATTCTCTTATAAATACAAGGTCCCATGGACACTCAAATGGCAATATGATATCCAAAACAATACAACCATTCAATGCCATTATGTCAAAAGGTGGGACACTTTCAAGATTGATAAGATCATGGGTTATGTTGAAGATGAATTTCCAAAACATATCCCCAAACAGGTTACTCCAGACACTTCAAAACAAATTCAGAAGCAAAGTAAACCGAAACATGCCTCTTCTGAATACACAACCCGATCCAAAAGACCTCCTAAGTCAGAAATTACAGAACTCAAGGAAATGGCAGCATCCATTTTAGATCGCATCCAAGACCTCTCTCGGGATGATGAAGAGGCTGATGCATCCTCAGCTGCTGAATCAAATCACTCGAGGAATCTGTATGATAATTCTTTGATCCAAGATAGCCGGATCCATTCGCTTAATTTAGGCTATCCAAGTCAAAATCACTATTTGCTACAGTACATGTCAAAGTTACTATTTCTACAAGAATTATCGGTAGCATTACTATTTCTACAGTCCCCCAACAAAACACTATTCATCTACAGTGCCGTCACCGCCGACGCAAAAGGACAAAAAACAGTAAGTCCACTATTCATCCACAGTCAAATTCAGTCAGTAAAGTCAGAAGCATCTTTTTAAAGCCGCGAATGCCGGAAAGATGTCTCCAACAGTTCTCCAATAGTGCAAGAATCCAGCAATAAAGAAGGATGCCAATCCATCTGATCAGCAAGCTTCGAACCAGTTCTCTTTCAGGATTCATTCAAGAGTGAATTCAGGCTTCTCTTTTAGTTTCCAATTGTAATATTTAGTTCTCTTTTATTTATCTTTTTTTAGTGTAATACACCATCAATATGTTGTACACCTCAGAGTCCTACCAGTAATTTGTAAGTTTATTTTAAGTTAATTTCTATTTCTGTATTATAATTTCTATTGTTATTTGTAATCTAAATTCAGTAATTTAATTTAAGTATTATCAGTTTCCATGTATATTTAATTTCAGTTATTTTAAGTGTATATATATATATATATATATATATATATATATATATATATATATATATACACTGTTCAAATGTACTCTTCTTCCCTCCCTTATTTCTTCTTTCCTCCCTCCCTCATTTCAGCAACCCATTTTGAAATAAAATTGAAATCCCGCCACCCAGCTAGCCTTCTTCTCTCCCAAAATATTAATGAACCCAGTTTAGAATTTGATTTCTTTCCAAATAAAAGCAAGAAGCAGGTTGTATTCGCTTCCAAATTTTGGATTCTACGATTTGTTTCAAAATAGAATAAGCGATTCTATTTCCAAATTGAAAGTCGAATCAAACTTTTCCAAATCGAAGCAAGAGGTACGATTTCTTTGTTTGTGCTATTCATTTCTTATGGAAATAAGAGGATTTCCTTGAAAATAAAATTTGAAAATTATAGGTGTATCCCAAATTATCCTCATTTACTTCGACGTTGGCCTTACATCACAATATTTTCTCAACATTTTCGTAATATATATCCCAACATATTTGTAAAGTGGTGCATCCCAACATTTTCCTAAGGTACATCCCAACATTTTCGTACAACATCCCAACTTATTTATAAAGTGCATCCCAACATTTTCCTAAAGTGAATCCCAACATTTTTGTAAGGTATATCACAACATTTTCCTACGGTAAATCCCAACATTTTCCTAAGGTGCATCCCAACTTTTCCAACCTAGCCTCAGACCTTCTTTCATTCTTCTTCATTTTTCCTTCCTTTCTTCTTCGTCTTCGTTTATTCGAAATTTAAACCCTAACTCTCAGACCTTCCTTCTTCCCTTCTTCTTTGCCTCAGACCTTCTTTCTTCCCTTCTTCTTCTTCACCTCAGACCTTCGATCTTCACTTCTTTGCCTCAGACTGCCGTTCTTCACTTCTTCTTCTTCGCCTCAGACCGCCGTTGGTATTATTTCATTCTTCCCTTTTAAAGAGAGAAAGGAAGACAGTTAGGCATAGCTTTTAGAGAGGAAAGGAAGACAACCGTGCATAACGTATTTTAGAAATAATATTTAAAGTTTATATATATATGAAATACAATATTTAAAGCTTTAAAGAGGGATGGTAAAAAATTAGTTATCCAATTTTTTTAATTGATGTGGCACATTCTCAACCACTTATTCCAATTGGAGGAAATGATTGTACTATGCGAATGGAGGTGATCCTAGTCCCAAGGATGGGTTAACAAACATTAGGGGTTATGCGAACAAAATGAATACTATGGGGGGTTTGCGCACCCGACCCTATATATATATATATATATATATATATATATATATAAGTATATATCAAATACTTTCGTTTATGTAAATAGGTAGGTATATGTAAATTACTTTTTTATTAGGGTTTCTTGGTTTTGTACTGTGTATATATATATATATATTAATTACTTTAATAGGTATATATTAATTACTTTCCAAAACAAAATTGGAAAAACATTGATGGTGGATTTTTCAGTCACCATTTGAAGATATTTTGAAATTTATTAAAGAAGGTGAAGGTTGATCTGAGGGTGTGTTTTAGAAAGTGAGAATTGTTTTAAGATGAGTTCGGATAAAAGGAGGAAATATGGTAATTGGTTGGGGAAAGAAACGGGTCGGTTAAAATAGCAATATTATTTAATTAAATATATAGATATATAATTAAAAAAATGATATTTTTGTCAGTTTTGGCTTCTAAGTAATGAATTATCCTTATCGGAAATATTTTCAATTTTTACTAGTATTTTTTAATCATATTTTTTCAAAAATGGACCCTTCTAGGATTTTTACAATTTTATGTTACATGTTATGACCTGCGTTATTTGTCATTTTAAAAACATTAATTAAAAAATAAAAAATTATATAAAAAAAAATTTTAGTTCAATTTTACGACAAACTTGTTAAACTCAGTTATAGATATGCACATTTTTTATATAATAAGTGTCATTTTATTTTTTTCATTAAACCCTAACAAAAATAAGCTTAAATTATCTGTAAATTAATTCCTCTTTATCTTCCTTAAGCTGCATATATGCACACATACCACAGTGCTCCGATTCAGCCTCCGCCATGAGACGAAGTTTGGTGAATCTTCAAAACCCAACACTCCCTTATCGACAAACCCTAATCCCAGCCTCAGCCTACTCCACCTCTGGCGGCGCTGGTGGCGGAGGAGGCGGCGGCAGAGGTCGGGGACGAGGCTCCTCTTCATTTCCCCCCACCTCTCACTTCACTCCCCGCACCCCAGGAAAGACCGAGTCCGACGATCCCAACACAGACGAGTCGCCCGAAAGCAACTTCTCCGCCGGAATCGGTCGTGGTCATGGCCGTGGTAAACCCCTCCCTTCAACTCCGATTCTTCCATCATTTTCTTCATTCGTGTCGAACGTGAGAGGTACTGGTCGAGGCCGAGTCACAAGCCCACAGCAATCCGATCCACGTCCACCAGAACCAGAACAATCTGGACCCAAGAAACCCATCTTCTTCCGCAGAGAAGACGCATCCGATTCGACACCCAAAGCCCCAATTCGCGATCTGGGTCGAAACCCAGAAGAGAGTGATCTCCCTTCGGGCATCTTGTCGGTGTTAGCCGATGCCGGTGCCGGCCGCGGCAAGCCCGAGAAACCGGCGGATTCCGGCGAGAAGGTGAAGGTGGAAAACCGGCATCTCCGAGCCAGGCCACCAGGACAGGGACCCACTAGGGAGAGAGGTGCGAGTGTTGCGACTGAGAAGACCAGTGATTTGCCGAAGTTGAGCCGCGAGGAGGCGGTGAAGAAGGCGATGGGAATACTGTCGAAGGGGGGCGGCGGGGACAACAGAGGGGAAGAAGGCGGAAGGGGAAGAGGGTCTGGAGGGAGAGGTTCTCGCGGCGGCCGAGGAAGGGGAAGAGGGTTTAGAGATAGAGGGGACAGAAGAAGTCGAGCTCGGGATGAGGAGGAGATGATCATCGACGACGATGATGTTGACGACGGCGCTGATGAAATATTGGCTAAGCGGATTGGTCCCGAGAATATGAGTAAATTGGTGGAAGATTTCGAAGAATTGAGCTACACAGTATTGCCTTCTCCTGCTGATGATGCATATTTGGATGCGATGAACACCAATTATATGGTAAATTATCTTAATTTAATTCTGATTAGTAGTTGAATGATCAGTTGTATATGGTATGCGGCCACTGAGTTTTATATGTAATTTGATGTTGCAGATAGAGTGTGAACCAGAGTACTTGATGGAGGAATTCGGAACCAATCCCAATATTGATGAGAAGCCTCCGATTCCTCTTCGTGATGCTCTTGAGAAGATGAAGCCATTCTTGATGGCTTACGAAGGAATTCAAAGTCAAGAAGAGTGGGAGGTAATGCCAACATGCTCTTTTGTTATTAGTTGGTTTAGTATTATTGCATGCTCTCTTGTTATTAGTTGGTTTAGTATTATTGTGTGTATTGAACCTCCATTTTACATACCTACTCTATTGTCCATGTTGTGTGCAAACTGTCCAGAATGTGGGTTATGTATCAACCCCCAATTTGAATCAAACCGTTCAACAAACGACAGGAAATACCCTATCCCTTGAAACGAATGAATAAAGTCAGCCCAGCCCCTATCGGATGGCCGGGATAACTTACTCGAATGAAGATCGGCTATTTGTTTTCTTTAAAAAAAAATTTCCCCTGTTATACTTATGTCATCCCTAATATTTTTTTATATAAGAGTTCAAGGTAAGTGATACACTATCTTTTCAATATTTAAAAAATATTAGCTCATCCTTTTAGCCTTTAATCACCAATCACTGGTTATGTTTTAGTGTTCTTATGGCCCTTTTTTTTTTTTTTTTTGTAATTTTCAAGTTTGTGTCTTTTTGTCTTCAAGTTATCCTGTTAGGATTTCTAACTGAGGACATCGTTCATTACTTCTCAGTTCTCTCTAAATGTTTTGTTTTTATGTTTGAAACTGCATTTGTACCCTTTACAATCAGAATATCTATTATAAAAAAAGTACAACTTCATCTCGCCGAATTAAGTTTTGATTCACAACTCTTGGTCTACCATTTTTAGTATATAGCCAGTTCTGTATCTTCCATCTGACTGTTCCTTTTAAGATATGGTCCATCATTGTATTTTGAAGCCTAGTTGATGTTGTATCAATGGAAAACACCCTGGTCAGTTCCTCCCTTATTCTGAACCTAATTAGTTGTGCTTAAATTTTGATATTTAATCTGTATCAGTTATTTTTTATACTTTGTCATTTAGCCATTGCTGGTGACATTACCTTTTCACTTTATCAGGAAGCCATTAAAGAAACTATGGAGAAAGTCCCTATTATAAAAGAGATTGTGGATCATTATAGTGGACCTGACAGAGTAACTGCAAAGAGACAAGAGGAAGAGCTGGAAAGAGTCGCAAAAACTCTTCCTGAACGTGCTCCTGCTTCTGTAAAGCGGTTTACAGATCGTGCTGTTCTTTCTCTCAAGGTTGGCATTTTTACTAAGGATTTATGTTTTTACCTTAACCTTATACCTAACCAGTCTTTAACTGAGTACCACTTTAATTATGCTAAATTTTAGTCTTCTCATCAGCAGTAGTTTGCTTATGAACCTTGGGCCTGATTTGTGGGATCCGCTGGATCTTTATGACTATCTGATATCTTCCATGGGTCCACCTCAAAGATCAGTGACATAGGCTCTTTGTGTGAAATCGATGATGCAAATTTGCATCACGATTAGAACTTCTCCTAGCTTTATTCTAACCTACAGAAACATTGCTTGGAAAATGTTTGAATACAAAATAATGTAGTTGAGTCCCCCCCCCCCCCCCCCCCAAAAAAAAAAAAGTAATAATAATAACAAAAAGATATAGTGTGTAAAAGCAAGAAAGTAAGCTTTGTTCTAATTTTGAAGAGACTGTTGGAAGTTGGAACACCAAGATACCCCTTCTGAAATTGCCTCCATTTTTTTTGCAAACTTCACTCTTTTATACAGAAATACTTTTCTTATTTCTCTTACAAATTATATAATGCAGAGCAACCCAGGATGGGGATTTGATAAGAAATGCCAATTCATGGATAAGCTTGTGTGGGAGGTCTCACAGCATTATAAATAAGCACGTTGTGTCATCTTGCTAATCAAACCGAGTGAAAAGCATATTCACTACTTACATCATTCAGGATTATCACAAGGGATAGCAGTGAGCTACTAGGTATGATGACAGCATTACTTAATTTTTCCCTTCTTGACTAATGAGAGATTGTTTTTTGTATTATCTCATTTTTAGGATTTTGTGGGGGCTTTTAAAATCTTGTAATAATTTTTTACTTTATAATTGTCTTGCTATATCTGATGAACCTGCTGAATCATTGCCATCCATATGAGTTTTTTTTATTTATTTATACAAGCAGCATGGCTTATTTGATTCACTGTTGAAATTTCCGGGAACACACCATGCTCCTTTATATTTCCTGTTTGAAAGTGATTTCTTGAAATTAATCGTCTTTTACTCATTTGAGTTTTTAGGGACTTTGGGAGTTAGTCTTCAGTTTGATTCACATCTTCAATGACTGACGGAGGCCTGAACTTTTTAATATTGGCTAGTACTCTCAAGCGTTTTTATTCTCGTTATGATTGCAAGCCTGTAGAGTGTAGACACTAAAAATTTCTGATCAAGAAACCTACATTGTTGTTTCAAGCTAGTGTCATAGTTCTTGTTTAGTCATTTTGGAGACTAGCTGCATCATATAGCCCAATTATTATGTGGGAACTAAGCATTGTA